TGCACACATGCCCAAAATCCTGAGCGGAGAATGGAGGAGAAGGGATTGCACCATGGCCATCCCCCCTGGGGAGATGATATTTTACCTTCTGTCTCTCTCTCTCTCACTGTCTCTTTGGCGAGCATACACACCTTATAGCAAAAACCTCTCTAAAAAAAAATAAAGTTGGAGGACTCACCATTTCCGATTTTAAAACTTACTACAAAGCTACAATAATCAAAACAATGTGGTACTGACATAGGGTCAGATATATAGACCAATGGAACAGAACTGAGAGTCCAGAAATAAACCTATACATCTATTACTAATTGATTTTTTTTAAGAACACTAAGTCCATTCAATGGAGACAGTCAGTCTCTTCAATGGGACAGGGATATCTGGGTTTCAACATGCAAAAGAATGAGGTTGGATGTGTACTTCACCATTTGGAAAGGTTCTAGATTCATGTCCTGAGGACTCTGTACATGCCAGGTACATTTATCTATGGCTGAGGATGGGAGTGAATCATGATAGGAAGAACTAGTTGGGGATGTCTCTCTCTCTCTCTCTCTTTCTCTTTTTCTCTCAGGAAACTTTATAAGGAAACAGAGGCAAATTTTGCTTTGTAATTGGCAATGGATTTTTAGCTATGATAACAAAAACAACAAAGGAAAAAAACAGATACATTAAACTTAATCAAAATTAAAAACTTTTCTACAACAAAGGGCATTATCAAGAAAGTAAAAAGCACCTACAGAATGGAGAAAATATTTGCAAATAATATCTTGTAAGGGTTTAATATACAGAATATATAAAGAACTCCTAAAACAAAATAACAACAACAACAAAAAAAAACAATTTAGAAATGGGCAAGAGCGACAGTCCAATGGTGCAGTATCATGCACTAAGTGATAATGGATCTACATGGAAGATTGCAGGTGAGGTTCCCTACTCAACCTGAAAATGTATCCATAATCCTAGCTGACTGGGAAGGTTAACATGAGATCCTATTGAAAGTACTTGTTGTTCATTCTGTATTTCATGAAAGAAATAAAAATTTAAAAAGCTTTTTAAAAAATGGGCAAAGAAGGACTGGCAGGTGGTATAGCTGTTAAGGTACTAGACTCCCACATGGCTGACCATGGTTCAAGTCCCAGACCTGGCAGCTTGCTTTCTCGCCTTCCCTCTCTATCTCTGATCAAATTAAATAAATAAAATTAATTTTAAAAAGGGGGCAAAGGGCTTGAACGGACATTTCTCCAAGAAAGATATACATGTGGGCAATAAGCACACAAAAAGATGTTCAGCATCATCAGGTGCTCGGGGAAATGCAAATTAAAACCACAATGAGATTCTACTAGTACTTTATAGCCATTAGAATGGCTATAATCAAGAAAATGAAAAATATAGTATTGGCAGGATGTGGAGAAACTGGAACCCTTATACATTACTGGTAGGAATGTAAACAGGAGCAGCTGTTGTAGAAAATAGTTTGGCTATTCCTCAAAAAGCTACTAAGCATAGAATTACCATGTGAGCCAGTAATTTCACACCTAGGTGTATACCTGAAAGATTTAAAACTGGATACTTGTACACCAGTGTTCATTGTAAGGGTTTTTGCTTTAGAAAGGCGGGGGCAACCCAGTGGCCAGCAACAGACGAATGGGTAAACAGTGGTGCACCCATGAGCCTGACTTGCTGGAAGGCCAGGAAGAGGACTGCAGCACGACAGGACCCTGTCAGGGATGCCTACGTCTTTCTCTTTCTCTCTCTCAATAAATACATAAAAGAGAAAAACATAGGCTCCCAGAGCAGGATACCTAACAAGGAGACAGGATTTCCAGAGTGATAGAAAGGAAGGGTCAGGTTGACACCTGGACAGCTGTCCAAGTGATAGCAGGAGGATGAAAGGCTCCAGGAAGAATGGGAGAAAGAACAATTGAAAACAAAAACCAGACAGGACAGCCCGGTTGCCTAGTGGTTAAGGGCTCTGGATGCCACGTAGCCAACTGCACTTTGAATCCCAATCCTGGTGGCTTGAAAAACCACAAGGTGCCTGTGTGCCCCAAATCCTGACAAGGTGGAAAAATAGAGGAGAAAGGATAGCAGCAAGACCGTGCCCCACTAGGGGGTGCTTCCCTACCTTCCCCTTCCTGTCTCTCTGTCTATGTCTGGAGAGCACATGCCCTTGCACAGTTTAAAAAAAGAAAAAAAAATACTGAAACTGATAAATTAATGTATAAGAGGATATTCTCAGCTCTATCAGTTACATCTAATTCTCCTTAAAAGGGAATTTTATATATATATATATATATATATACACATATACAGTCAACTTCTCAAATCACCAAATGAGGCAATTATAAATGGACTTCAGGAAAAGCAGAAGTGTGTGTTTGGATGGGTGAGATCTAAATATTCCTGTTCCATATTAAGAAGGAAGCTGCTTGGGACCAGCAGTTAGCGTAATGGCTATGTCACTGGACTCCCACGTAGTCGACCGCGGTTTGAGTCCCGGACCCAGTCAGTGGCTTAAACTCACGCCGGGCGCGTGGGCGTGCGTGCCCAAGATCCCGAGAGGAGAAT